AAGCCTTAATTAAACCCTGAACCCTACTACACAGCCCCATGCCACACACCTCGGCAGCCTGAGAGCCACAACCTTGAACCATATGATGCCACAAAATTCCGACAACCTCAACATCTGCAACCAAAGGCCCAGAATCCTAAAGTGCACCCTAAAGTCCCAAACCCTAAGCCCCAAACTCCTAAACCCTAAACCTTAAACTCCTAAACCCTAAACTTTATCTTGCATAAGACCCAGAGGCATGTAAGCTCTCTGCCCTGACCTGAACCCAAAGTCTTAGAGCCTAACATAGGGGCCTGAATAATTACCGATACTATTTTGGTGGTTCCTTATTATTATTATGATTATTCTGGACTATTATTGTTACTATTATTATTATTACATAATGGGCCCCAAAACCCTATTCTAATTATTAAGGCCCCTACATTCATTAAACTCCAAGAATCGTTTGTCCTGGGCGATGCCTTCGTTCCCCAATACCAAACCTTTACAGTTTCTGGGTTTAGGGTTTAGGGATAATTTAGTAGTAATCTGAAAGTTAAACCCTTTGTGTCCCTGGCTTATTGGCGAAGTAATATGCTTAAGCAAGAATGACTACATCCTAACTCCACTGGTGAATGCAGTGCCGGCGCCGCAGGGCGGTCAGTGCCCCTTACAGCAAGACTCCCTGAATCCGTCGGCCGAAAGTGTGGAAGTAATTGTACGATTATTATCCCAGAGGGTCCGTATATACTACCATTATGGAATTGGGTCCCAAAAGACCATTCATATTAGGGTTTTGGGGACGTAATTCCATAATGGTAGTATATATGGACCCTTAGGGTATTAGGTATTTGAACCTTTAGGTCAGGAAAGACTAGGACCGTCATGGACCGAAAGGAGTTCTTTCTGGTAAATTGTTTGTCTAGGCGTGTTCGCATAGTATAAGGGTTTCGGGGTTATAGGATTCAATGCGTTGGCATTTGGGATTTTGAGGGGTACCCCACACCCTAAACTAAACCCCTAAACCACTAAACCCTACACCCGAAGTCGTTTGGGGTTTGACGGTCGATGGCCTTTAGAATTCAAGCTTTTGGACGCTTAGGCTTAAAGGTCGCTGGGGTTTAAGGTTTGGGGTTTAATATAGGGGCCTGAATAATTAATAATTACCTATACTATTTTGGGGGTTCCTTATTATAAATAATAACGTATAATTATAATATACCCCTAAACCCTAAGCCCTAAACCCTAAACCCTATTCTAATTACTAAGGCCCCTTACTCCTGTTAAAAGGCCTTGAGGGACAGCGCTCATGTTGAGCATTTACAGGTATACGGTAGCTTCAATGGGTGAAAGGGTTTAGGGTTTAGGGTTTAGGGTTTTTGGAGGTTAAAGTTTAATGACTCAACGTAGTAGGGTTGGGGTTACATGGCTTACTATGTCGGCCCGGTAGGAAGATTCACTTTCTGGAGGTCCCTTTCCAATAGCTCACACCTTAGGCAGTACAACGTTTCGAAAAACCCGCCTGTATCTTGGCTGTTGGGTATCGGCCCTGAAGCCCACGTATAATGCTAGGGTTGTACCTTTCGCTTGCCACGGCCCTTACCCCCGAAGAAACCTTATTTGTGAGACCGTCTGTTTAGTTCGTACCTTTTTGAGAGACGAAGCCACAAAAAGCTTGAATCGCTCCAAAATGAGATGCTCTCACATGAAAGAGCTTCTTTTCTATGGGGAGTCTGCACGGGAGCACCGACCGACGTTCGGGTTTAGGTGTGGGGTCTAGGTTAAGGGTTTAGCGTATTCGAACAAGGGTCTCGGGGTACACGTATATTTCAAAAGTAAAATAAGCTGATTAAATAAAGAGTAGCTATTTCATATATATATATATACAATACAATATAATATGTATATATATATAGACATGTGTGTATATGTGTATATATATATATATATATGTTATAATATATATATATATGAACCATGCACTCTACAGCCCCGAACGAAACCACACATGATCTTGAGCAACCCTATAGATCAATACCGTATACAACCCTCAAAGTTACACGCCGGGAAAACTTTTTGCCCCGATGACCCCAACACCCTAGAAGCCTGTAAACACCAAAGTGTCCTTTGAGTCTAAACCCGAGGCCTGAAACTACATCCTGCAAGCCACACCCTAAGACCAAAGCTAAACCCCACAGCCGTTTCTGCCGGTCGGCACCGTGGTTTTTTGTCACGCTGGAGCTAAGGCCCGACTCCTCAGCACCTTCGCAAACAGGTTGCTGCAAGTGTTTGACACCATGGGCGTGGAAGAATCAGATCACTCGTCATCAAGAGCGGGCCTTTGGCAACAGTTGTCATTCTCGGCTTTACCATTTGGTAACTTTTCGCGCGGCCAGGCTCTATACAGGTTGAATAAAAACTGGCACAATGAGATTTGGCTTCAATTCTAAACTTTCTTGTGCTTCCGAGCGACAAGCACCAAGTATGCCGTTTCCTCGTCGCGATGGGCAAGCGAGTGATTCCACGTCGTCGCACAGCGAAGCATTCCCAAGCTCTGGCTACCCGCTGACAAGTTCCGTAAGCCTTACTTCCCGTTTTGTCCTGGACTTCCCAAGCCGCTGCATGCACAGCGATAAAGTTGATTAACGAATTGACCAGGTTCCGAACTTGGAAAATGCCTGGGGCCCGAATTTCTTTACCACAAAATTTTGCCCTCAACCGTCAACAGCACGAAGCAGTACTGTGCTTTCCAAAGCCGTTTGAGACGCAAACCTTCTGAACCATTCTAGAGGTGTTCGAAGTTACCAGGCTTGGGGCGATGCGCTTCGAACGGAGCTCCGAGCGTCGGAAGACGGAGGCAGATGGGAAGATACTTGGGGTTGCAGCAAACCCAGCGAATGATTAATGAAGGCCTATAGGGTACGGTATGGTACAATGATACACCAGCGGGAGAGAGAGGGATAGATGACAGAGACAGATATTATAGAGACATAGACACAGGCAGAGACGGAGATAGGGATAGGGATAGGGATAGGGATAGAGACAGAGACAGAGACAGGGGTAGAGATAGGGACGGGGATAGCAGTAGAGACAGACATAGAGATAGAGATGGATGTAACACAAGAAGCAGCGGAAACAAAATAAAGTGTCGGCGCCTCTCTATGTAGGTCTGTTCGGGTGTTTACGGGCCAGGGTTCGAAATATTTCAGTCAGGTGAGAAGTTGGGTTTAGAGAGGCCTCAGTGATTGATCGGCAGCGCATAGAGTTCCTTGTGCTCGGGATAGTCTTTAAAGATCTACGTCGTTTGTTTCGAAAGATTCCGCTTTTTCTCTTTCGGGGTTCGTCAGGATTGAGTTTAGGGCTTTTGTGTGAAGTAAAGAGTTAACGGCACGGGTGAGCCTTGGGATCATGTTATGTCTGAAAGCCATTCGTGGCAGAGTCCCCGTGGCCGGGCAGGTACCGTTTATCGGGAAGCCCACGGGTGACCTTTTCTGGGCTGGTTTGGTCAGCCCCTCCGCTATTGTAGGCCCGTGTCCTTAAATTTACGGAGGTTCAGCAGTTGGCGTGGACCCGTTGCGGGATCCTGTCTTTTGGGTTCTTCAGGAAAGCAACACTAAATCCCAAAATCTGCACCAGGCGCATAACACTCGGACTTTACGCAGAACAGGAAACAAGCAGGAAACAATCGGTATGTTCCAGAAGGTGGGAGAAGGGCTGCAATGGTCTGCATCGTACTCCCAAACGGTCCCATGTATTCTTATGGGGGGATACTTACGCAAGGCCCTAAATCATAATAGTAATTCCTAATACAGAAACCCTACATTCCCGTATATAGGTACACAGGCGCTGCGTAGTGTTGGTGGTTGGGTTCCCCTGATGCATGCTCTGCACCGCCAGCACAAAACGGAGATGCAACAGAGGCTCCATGACTTGGAAGTCCGGGCGGGGTGTGACCTGGACACAAAGTGAGTCCGATATGCATCAGACCTTCGACGACTTCCTCGACTATACCCGGAGAAGCATCGTCTATGACGCCGAAACCCTAAACCCCGCCTTCAGGTTTGCCCAGAAGGGCAGTGCAGAAGGGAAGAGCATCGGCCAGAACCGCCAGGTCTCCCATGGCGGCACGCCCAACAACTATTGTAGTGGCTTCAATAATTACCTATTTTGATAGGGTTTTGGGGCCGATTATATTATAATCCCCCAAAAATTTTGGGGTATTCTAGTATAATGGGCCCCAAAACCCTGTTCAAATTATCAAGGCCCCTATATTAGCCATCACTCGACCATTCGCAGCAGACAGCCCCATGCCCTCCTCAACTCAACAACTCTCCCTTCAACCTTGCCAACACCCCAGCATCTGGCCCTTGATTGGTGCTCGAAAGGCCAGATTCCCCGCCGCACGCCCTAAATGGGTGGCTCTCTAAATTAGGATCCTTTTTAGGGTCCTGTTTATTAGGGTGTCGTAATATATTGGGGACCTAAAAAGGGACCCGAATTTAGAGAACTACACCACCCCAACTTAACAGCGTCCCGGGAGCGCCCCGACACCGGTCTGGTCGGCCGACAGGGTGTCCGGCTGCTTCCCGGTGAGCTTCCTCAATTGTGGTGGCATGTGGAGAAGTTTTGGATTTAGTTTGATTAGCCCTATGCTTCTAAGGACCTTATAGTTAGGGCCCTAGACCCCTTAAGGACCCAATAATAAGGTCCCTGGAAGCATAGGGTAGTGGTGGTGAATTTCCAGGAACTCTCACTCTCGCAGAAGGCAGGCAAGGCTCCACACAGATCCGTCACGCGAGAGAAACTCTCAGGGCAGAACTCTCTAGGGCAGCACTCTCTACACACCAGAACAAATCTAAGCCATACTTAAAGGATCATGGGACTTAGTAACTGAGGTTCTAAACAAGGTAACTATACTTATCACCCCAGTTAGGGTACTTATAACCCTACTTACTAAGTCCCAAGATCCTCCAAGTAGCACCACCCACACGGCCCCACCCCCAAGAGCATCTTTGGAAGTCATTGCTCCGCACTACCACTGACCAGCTGTCGGCCCTCCACAATGAGATACGAGACCCACCACACATTTTAGGGCCAGTTTAGGGTTGTTTTGCCTGAAGAGTTCTGGCTTCGGCATGCAAGGCGCACAAGCCTCGTCACCTTAGGCTTCACCTTGTCGAAATTCCCGGGTTCAAGGCATATGTAGCGTCTTTAGAGCACTGAAGTAGGTGTCCTCTTCAAGGGCCGCGCAGTGGCCCGAACCTGTCTCTGGAGCGGTGATGCTTTGACCTCTCTAGAATTGCAAGCATGACCAGCTTTTAGTCTGGATTGTGGCTGCGAGAAAGAAGGGTCCCTGCGTGAAGGCGACGTGTTGGGATCACGTGACAACAGCTCCTGATCGGTATTTGCGGGTGGTAGCACTGCTAGCCGTCGACGGTGTATGGCTTCAGCTACGGAGCCGTACGAGTATAATTGTTACTGCTATTGGTCTTACATGACATATCCAAGCTGTTATTCGTAATGAAGACGACTCTCGAAAGCTGGACCTAAACCCTTTCTAGCAACTCCTCCACTCCAGCAACCGTTATACCTCAAAACCCGCAGCCGTAAACACCCCATTCGCCGAACCCGGTAGCCCTGAATACTGAATCTTTAACCCTCGAGCCCAGCACTTGTCTCAGGCATACTGATAACTAGAGCAACGATGACATTACATGAACTGATTTCTCCTCTCTCTCCCCCCTTTATGTATAATCACATGTGCACACACACCTACACAAACAAACAAACAAACAAACAAACAAACAAACAAACAAACAAACAAACAAACATCATGCATGCATAGTTTAAACCCAGGCTCGGATCCTGCAGCAGATTCCCTTGAAGGCAACCCAAGCCTCCCCCGCCTGCCTCGGAGACCCTGGGCTTCGGCGGCTTCTGAGGAGAGGGCATGGGGCCAAAGAAGGAGCGCCACTCTAAGGGTGCACTCGGTATTCAGGGTTTCTTTGTAGGGTTTAGGCTTAGGGGTGCACTCAGTATTTAGGGTCCTTTTGGTAGGGTCTGGCCTTAGGGGTTATAGAGCTTAGGGTCTATAGAAGCTTTAGAGTGGTGGAGAGCCTACAACAGGGGTGTACTTGAGGCTTGACGTCGGAGTTAGAGTTCAGGGTTGAGGGCTGGTTTTGGTGTGGGGCTGCTGGTGTTGAGTCGGGGCGGGTAGTGGATAGCAGAGCTCGGATGCTTTCGTGCAAGAACTTGTGAACGATAGAGGTGCCTTTGCATCATGCCCGGAATGTGCTGAAACAGCTGCGGCATGGGCAAGTTCCGCTTACCACGCACACACCACATGTCGATGAAAATTCTACCCTTGCAGCCCCAGCCCGAGGAGACCCAGACCCAGACACAAAAGCTTTGATCCTTGTACACCTATTTCCTCAACTGGAGATATATACTTGTTACCCTGCAATGTCGAGATAGTGCGAGGCGGTTGAGGATCCCATTCCCCGGTTCACCTTCAAATAGAACAACCCCCTGACCCCTGTGGACCTCGACCTCACCGCCTTAACCCAAGTCAGAGAAGTGCTAGACAAGGCTTAACAGCCCTACCCGGCCTACACCCCTCAACCCCTCAAGCCCCCAAAACTCGGAGCCAGCTCAACGCTGAGACACACAACACAGCAAACCTAAGCCCGGTCTAAACCCTAAACCCCAAGGCCCAAAATACCGAAAACAGTGCGTCTTGGGCTTCACTGCTTCCTGTAAAATCTCCGGTATTGGGGTTTAGGCTTATCTCCGGTATTCTGGTTTAGGTTTAAAAGGATTAAGACGTCCTGTTGGGTTTAGACGGGCCTTGGCCGCCCGTGCCGTGCCTTTGCACGTTGCGGGGTTGGACCCGTGTTGCAAGATACTGGAAGATTGGCCGGCCAGCAATTTCTAGGCCCCTTCTTGGCACCCTAAAACATGATCTGCTTGCTCAGCGAGTCAGGCTATCCTAGTTCTGTGGATCTTTGTGTGATGTGTTTTCACTAGAATATTCATGACTCGGGCCTAAAGCCTGGACCTTCATGATCCAAACTTTGGGCTCAGCCCTCAACACTCGGCTGTAAATCCTGCAGGTTGACACCTATGCCGCAAGCGTCGGAGCCTGAAACCTCGAGCCATACATAGACAAATAAATAAATACATAAAAAAATAAATAATATATATATATATACATATAAATACACAACTCAATACGACCCAACAGAAACTTATACAAAAATGGACCCTCGATTTAATCCTGCACCCTAAACTCTCTCTTTGAAAGCATCTGGACATCCTGGGACGATTTAGGGCTTAGGGTTTTGGGTTTGGGGCTCAAAATTCAAAACCCTAAACCCTTACTTAGGCCTTAGCGGCTTTCGCGTTCTGGTACCCCGTCTCCTCCACGCAGAGCCAGGCCAACACTGGCCAATGCAAGTCCCGCAGTCGCCACTGCACGGAGCTTGCCTGTCGCGAAAGCAAACCCGTGGGTCTGAAACTTTACTGTACTAGGGCCTGAACGCTCGACCCTAATGCCCGAAATCCCTCAAACTTGTTCCTAAACCTTTTTTCACGAGGGACTGGGCTGCTGCCCTTACTGCCTAGCTCGACCCACAACACCGTACTCATGACTCATGACTGCATCGCCAGCTTCGCGGCTCCAAGCATCAGGAAAGCACCAATCCTCTGAGCTTTTTGCATCAGGGCTTGTGCAATCGCCTGAATGTCTGAGCCTGTCCTTTTGCAACAGGCTTTCCACTTCAGGCCTTAAACCCTAAACGCCTGGTATAGGAACCTGATTAAGAAACCCTGGGCCTTTATTAGGGTTCTTAATGATAT